GGTTCGAGACTTGTTTGCTTTCTACAAGATAAACAATCATTTGTACGCCAAAATCGCTGAAAGTGATCCTGCAGAAAATAGCGAGTACACGGATGCTGATCTTGAAGCAGCATTTGTCGAGTACGTCCCGGACGACGAAGGTTCAATTGATGGAGAAATCGATAGAGAGCAACAAAATATTCGTGGGGAATCCGACTCATGGCGTGTGATGTGTAAAACTAACGAATGCAGTGTACTGGAGCGGCGGATTGGTTTGGCTAATGCTGGAACACCTGTAGCAGTACGAGAACTTTCTGTACTATCACAAGCTGATAGAACTAAAGAACGTGAGCGTGAATTTGAGGTTTGAAGATCAAGTTTCTTTGCAAATGACATTTCTGGAACATTGCTGGCACGAATATTCCCGGATCTATTTCCTTTTGGGCGCGCACCCAGGCGAGCAGCGGCATGTCAAAGTGTCCGTGCAGGAATGTATCAAATATTACACGATGCTGAGTGAGCGGCAATTCGATGAGGATGCACTGTTTACATTGGTTGCTTTTGACAAGATCTTCATGATGAGTATGTATATCCAGAATCACGTTCGTTGTCAAAGGTTTCCGCATCTCCTGGAAGGGTATGATCGACTCACCAGCGAGCAGTTAGGGAAAGCTCTGCTCGAGAATGAAAGGCGACTCCAAGGGTGCTTACCATGGAGGCAGGCGGACAACTCTGTCGCTCAAAAATGTCTTAAGACAGTAGAGATTGGCTCACGCTCGGTGTGGGGCAGCAATGCTGAAAGGTCTCAGTGTCGTCACAAGGCGTTTGCCTACCAGACTAGGTTCGGACAGCCAGCTTTGTTCGTAACGTTGACCGCAAATTCCGACAATTCACTTGTGCTGGCCCATTACACTGGAGTTCTATCTGTCGATTCCTTGTTCGATTTACTTGAAGCTCGGTTACCTACAAAAGCGGAATTACGTGGAGCCAGCAGAGAGAATGACTGCGCGTCAGCACGTCTCTTTATGACGCACGTGGTTGCCTTTAATCGTCATGCGTTACGCATCGACCCGCGAACACGGAAAAAATTATCATATCGTGGTTTACTTGGTGACATCAAGGCCTACTTTGGGATGGTGGAAAGCCAAGGCCGTGGTACTTTGCATATCCACTTACTAATCTGGCTAAAGCACTGCCCTCCGAATTCAACTGCTGTCATGAAAATCTTAGGTTCACCTCAAGGAAATGTATTTCGTGAGCGAGTCGCATCCTATGCCGATAGTATCGTACGAAACGATCTGCCTATCTCTCTCGATAACTACAACTGCTCAAGTTGTGGGGCTTCTCATGAACGTCTCATTGGACTTCAGATACCCGAGCAGGCCCGAAAGGATCCGACGGTAAGGTCCACTAAAACTCGTTGTCGTTGCAGACCTGCAGAGCCTACACTTGTATCATGTGGTCGTTGCTGTGCCCAGATTAGCTCCCAGCATCTCATTCACAATACATTGCTGAAGGCGCGGCCGGAATGCTGGCCCATTTGGCGACAACCTTTGTCACCTAGCGAAATTGAACAGCAGGCAGTGGCCGAAAGTGTTTGTCGTAGCACGAAGAAGAAAGCGGTGGACATTATATGCGATCGTGAGTCCGTACACGCGAGCTACTGTTGTGACCTGTCAATTCGTGAGCGTGAAAAGCTTACTGCAGACCTACTGCATCAGGCTAACCACCAGCAAATGCCACTTTGCAAGGCAGATGATGACCCATTTCGAAATGACACGCTTGCTTGCTTACTAGAAATATCACCTCCATCTACTTCTTATGCGAGGATGGATTACATGGTGGCCTCCCTGGCGGTTTTGCAGAACCAGCATCTTTGGTGCCACACAACGAGTTGCTTTAAAAATTCTGGAGTTACCAAGAGTGATACCTACTGCAGACATCGCTTTCCTCGCTGTCCCGTACCAGGTACCAGTTTTCAATCGTCCGGGGTTGAGTTGAAACGGACTTTGGGTCATGAATTTATTAACGGGTTTAACTATGAGTTAATAGCCACGTTTAAGTGCAATCATGACATTCAAGTTCTTCTTG